CCTGGTACTGACAATGGCTTGTATTTTGAATATGTAACTGACTAGTTTTGATTAGAGTGCTTGTTTAATTGATTGATTTATTTATTTGTTTCTTTGACCTTGTTTGATGAGGGTAGCCTCAGATCATTAGTTAGACATACATACACATTTTCGCTAAATTACAATAAAGTATGAAACACTAAGACAACAAAGAATTGCATTTAAACGACTTATGCCCCATATGCCTTAGTTCTGTTCACACAATCTACCATCTATTTCATTAATTTAGCCGTCACCTCACCGTTATACCTTGGCAGAATTCCCTCTATAAATCTGTATTCACTGTCAATGATATCAGACACAACAACGCATACTCTGGTGTGTTCATTGGTTAATGGAACAAGAAGACATGTGTGATGACGTGTTTGCATAGGAAATTGCATGTTTTTGTAAAGCTATGTAGTGATATAAGACGACAAAATCTTTTGGTTTAAATTTGAAATTGGTGCAAGAAGTTGTTACAAGAATGCTGATTGATGGATCCAGGTCTTGGACATGACCAATCAAATCATTCAATTTAACTGAGGTCAAATACTTAAAGGGCGGTGGTTGTTGCGCTGCACACGTGCGACATTTGTGTTTGCTCTACTAATGAGTATGAGGTTTGACCTGGGCGCGACTAGCACTAATTACCGCTGGTGACACTTTCGATACCTTTAAATCACCTAATTAAAAATTGGTAACGTCTCAGCGATCGTACTCGTACTCATTGCGCAACAGTCAAAGTCCCATCTTTGTTTATACAAGACCTATATAGTTTGCGCATGCGTGGCATGATGACTACCTCCCTTTAACACAATTATGAACAGGTTTGTAGAGACAGTCATGGATTGTTGGTTAATCAATATCACAAATCAATATGTAATGATCACGACCACTTTGAAAGAAATGAGCCCAGGCTAAAGTCCTGGACATACTTGATATTTTGAGTGTTTTCTTGAGATATTATTGTCAGATGGTTCAATATTCAGCAAATTACTTACTTTATCACTAATGGATTTTATGTACGACTTCCGGGTCAAGTCAGACCAATTTTCATCATCAATGACGACTTTTTTTCCTGATCTGAGTAATTTGACGATATGGAGAATTATGTGACGAAGACCTAATGATGAGTCATACTGGAATGTCTCTTGTGCCGAGACTCTCTCGTATGAAGAATACTTCTCAATGTAGTGTTTAGTCTTGCCCTAGAACAAGAAAAAACAACAAATACAAAAATCTCTGATCGATGCAAATAATTTTAGTGACAACCAGCCAGTTAAAGGTCTCGTGAGTTGTGCCAGTGATGACCCCCCCCCCCATTTACCATCATCTAAACACCATTTCGACTAATAGCATGGCAGCAATTCATGCCTGACAAGCTATATATTTGTGTTTCCAACCTCTAGTACATATTCAGAAATGTTCATTCAATACCACTGAGATATATACTGTGCAACAAGTCAGTAATTTTTTATATCATCTGACAAGTCGTGTATTTAGAACAGAATACAGTGCCAGTGCACAAGGTTTCTTGACAATTGGCTTTTCAAAATAAATCTGTGCCTAATATGCACAGACTACCAACTTTTGTACTTGGGTTACCATTTTTCAAAATTAGTAGTGCAGTACTACAGCAATTGACAAAAAACAATTGACAATTGTTGTTTTATTATACAACATTTTCAATAGAGCATTTATTTATTTTTGTTTACATTTTCTTGCATGGTACCTTGTTAGTACCTAATAAACTTGATGGACTACTGAATATTACTATGTAACTACCAGCTTGACAGCCCAGCAGGCTTCCCAGATTTTTTTATTTCAAGCTTTACTGGTGATTATCTGACTGGGGATATATGGTAAATACAAGTACTACTGGTAAACTCAATAATATAACATGAATTTCATAAAAGATGCCAAATAGTACAGCAATGTATCTAAGCAAAATGATGGCAAGAAAAATACAGGCTAGAATTTTTGTCAAGAAAAAATGCTTGCCAACTGTTGGCAGGAAAAATGTGTTTAGTCATATATATATATAGAAAATTAGACATGGTTAATATTTTAACGTGGTTGATAAGGTTTCCACATATCAATGTTTTGGTGGGAAAAACAATTTATACTACATAATGAGAACAACATATCTATCTAAATAACATGTAGAGTTTACCAATGGTGTTGCATTCAGGTATCTAGAGGACACCACCTATTACAATCTAGCTTTGTCAAGCAAATCTCTGGGATAATTGTACAAGACGACAACTTTATCAAAGACCTGGGTGTAATGTCAAATACACTGACATCTTGCGGGCCTAAGCTTCTTTCTGAAGATTTTGTGTTATTTCCCATAATAGTGTGTATCATGTATCACAATTTTTTAACACAAAGTCAGATAAACAATTAAAGGTGTTGAGAGAATCGTATTTTCCTGACTGCCTGGTTCCTTAGTTTCTCAAAACAATATCTAGTAGTTTGAAGTTATTGGAATCGTTTTATTATTTAAGACATTAGACACATGCATATCCATTGATTTG